ATATATCAGATTTCAGACAAACAAAAGAACAGGCAGAAAAACCAATTAAGATCAGTAAAAACGTACTTTCCCTCATACACCTTGGCATGGGCACCTTCCCCAATCTTCGGCCCAACAAAAAGATGCTTAGGATCAATCAACCATTTGGCATCCAAATTGAATTCACCAGTTGAATAAAACCCATTACCAGAATCCATATCTTCACTCAGGACTTTTATCAAACACCTCGACTACACTCTCTAACTTCCTCCTCGTTTCAGTCCCCTCTCACAAACCTTTCCCATAAAAGACCCATCAGAAATTCAAAGGGTACGGAGGCAGTACTAAACCAAAGACAAAAGAAGTGAAATAACCCATCCCTAAAATCCCGCAGACGGATCGAGAAATTGAGCGGATTCTTGTGCTTGGTGGGGAAAGCATATACTACTCCACATGTAGGAAGCGGCAAATCCAGCAGCCCCAGAATATAAAAATGGGGAAATTGGGGGAAAACAAAAAAGATTAGTGTCAGAAGCAGGGAAGAAGGCAATAAATTATGATATCGCAATCGGTGAAGGGAAAAGGAGCAGAGCAATGAAAAAGGAAGGGAGCGGCTGAAATTGAGCAGTGAAATTGATGCTTCTCCGCGTATGGAAGTGAATGCAGTTGCCATCGGCAATTTAAAGCTGCAAAAGAGTTGAGTTACTGTGCACTGAAGAGCGGCTCGTGATTTGACTTTGAATGCAAAAAATTGAAGAAGAAAAAAACTGGATTTTGAAGGGAAAGCCCGAATGCACGGATAAGGCCAAGATCTGTCGTCCTGAAAAATCCTAAAAGGAAAACAATAAATAAATAATTAAAAATTAAAAAAATCCCTTTGTTCATTCATTAAATTTTATACAAATTAGTTAAATAATTTTTTTTTTTTTTTTTTTTTTTTTTTTTTGGGTAACAAAGAGATGTAACGTGTAATTAAAGTACTTAAGTTTTTTCATCTCCGTTCCGTTCTATAACTGTTTTAATTTTCATCGAAACTTTTTGCTTATTTGAATTGAGGTATAGAATTCGGTCGTGAAAATTTTGTGAGGATCAAGTTCTCGAGTAAATTTTCTGTTTTGTTTGTATTTTTTAAGTTTATTTTTAAAATTATTTAAATAAAAAAATGTTACCTTTGTAAACAAAAATATTAGATTCACTAGAATAATTTTTAAAAATTTAAAATTTATTATTACATCATGCTTTTCAACATTTTATTACTGTAATAAATATAAATAAGAGTTTTCTTCCGGATCTCTCTATCTCTCTTTAAACGTAAAATTTTCTCTTTGAAATGGGTCTCGGGTCCTAAGAGTTAAGTGGGCATCAAAGAGTTTTCTCTAAGTTCCCTCTCTATAAGCGAATTCTCCGTCTTCAAAATGGGTCTCGAGAGCTTTAAATATTTTTTTCATGCTCCATCTCTATTCTCTGTTTAAACGTGAATTTTTCCTCTTTGAAATGGATCCCAAGTCCTTCGGTTAAATGGGCACTACGTATATTTGAAAGTGTAGGAACTAAAATAGAATGAAACACGAGGTATGTAGAGATAGATAGATTTTAATGCTTATTTTTTTTAATAAGTCCTTTTATATTATTGGAGAGTAATTTGAAATTGGAGTGATTTTACATTTTCCTTTTATATTAAATAAAATAAATCATATTAAGTTTAAAGGGCTTTTCTAAAATATGGATTTGGTAAAAATATTTATTTTTAATAATTTTTTTAAATGGCATTAAAAAAATTAAAAAATTAAAACACCCTTTTATAACCATTTAATTTTTAGTACTTTTTTAAAATTTAAAAATTATAATTATTTCATAATAAAAAATGAAAATGGTATTTATATGCTTTAATTTTAAAAAATAAAAAATAAAAAATAAAAAATAATCTTCCTCTCACTTTCTTCTCTTTCTCTTTCTAACCTTCTCTCTCCAATCATTTCATTTTCTACCTTTTTTTTAAATAAAATTTGGTCCACAAAACACTATTTATTTGAATAATATTATAATGTGAAACTACCAATTCACATAAATTACTTTAATAAAATTAAAACATTAATTAATTAAATGTAGTAGGTTCTATCTATTTCTGTAATATTTATATAATACACTCTCTTTCTCAATCAATTTTATATAATTAGAAATATAGTTTTTTAAATACTATAATATATAATTTTAACTTTTTCTTTTTTATGTTACTTCTATAAAATTAGACAAATATTAATAATTGCAATAACAAAAAAAAAAAAAAAAAAACTTTTATTGTCAGTGTTTGTATGATTCAAGTATCCGACCAATTCATATCACCCAACTTAAACCTTCAAAATTGAACATTCGGATTGATGTGAGTTATGCATTCAAGTTAAAAAAACCCGAAGAAGCAAAACCTTGGATAAAAATAGTACTTGGTGAAGTTATTCCTAAGCAAATGAATAATGGAGAAAACCCATGAAAGAAATAGTAATGATTCATATAAATTAAGTAACTAATAATCCTGATATACAATCATGCTATGCCATTTTCTGACGAAGCATCATAGCCTACCTGAAAATATAGTTATGACTCAATCCTAACCTACTTCTGAAATCATTATGAAAATTAAAAATTGACGTTTCGATATTTGAAATTTTAATTATTAATGTAACATGTATTGTGAATAAATAAGATTTTTTAAATAATTAAAAAAAAAAAACAACCCGCTAATTCAAATTATGAACTCTATTCAAATTGCTGAAATCACCAAGTCAACCAACTTAAAATTTTGGTTCGGTTCAAAACATTTTTCCAACCCACAAAATTCAAATTACACAATATATTCTTAAACTAAATTACAAATTACCCACAAAATATATAACAAATTACACAAAATGAAACAAACAATTCAAAATAAATTCTTAAAAATGTCGAAATCTATCTAAGTACATAAATCAAATCACAACCCAACATTCAAGCTTAGCAACAAATACCCAAAATGACAATGAAACTTTTAATTTATCATTTAAAAATTACACACATTCTTTTAAAAAATGGTAATAATATCAATAATTGTATTCAAAGTAAAAACCTATTTGAATATTAGATGGTTGACCAATGATCTAAAATAATATGGCAATAACTAAAATATTTGTTCAGAGCAATATTCAGACACGTTGACTTTTTAAATATTTTATCATTTATAAAATATTAACGATAATATTATATAACTTTTAAAAGAATAAGAGCTTTTTTTTTTTCAAGTTTGTTTAATTATGAAAGATGAAACTCAATCTAAATATGGAAATCAATCATCAAAGATGGGTCAATAAGTTGATTGAAAAGGAAAATGATGTATTCTCCAAATATAATTCAATCAAACAACTTTAATTACAAGTTTAGTCTGTAAATTTTTATGTTTATATCTAATAAGCCCTTGTACTTTAAAAAATAGAAATAAAAATAAAAATAAATCGATGTATACAAACACAAAAGTTCAGAAACCGAACTTTTCATACTACCTCAAGTCATCATATGTATAACAAAAACATTTAAAAATAGCGTAAAGCACATAAATTAAAATAATATACCATAAAACAACGTATCAATTAGAATGAAAAGAGAATATTGTTACGAATAATAACCCTCGTACCAATGGAGATATTTCTTACTTATAAACCTATGATCATTCCTTAAATTAGTCAATGTGGGGCACCCTCTATAATGTCCCACATTGGTTGGGGAGAACAAAACACCCTTTATAAGGGTGTGGAAACGTTCCCCTAGCGGACATGTTTTAAAGCCTTGAGGGGAAGCTTGAAAGGGAAAGCACAAAGAGTACAATATCTGTTAGCAATGGATCTGGATCGTTACACCCTCTCAACAATCATCCATATATATTATTAAAGGGCTAGAAACTTTCTCGAAAAAGTAAATGCAACCAATTAAATGGATGGAAGAGGAGCACTTTGGAAGATCTTTTGAGTGGAATATTGAGAAATTCTGTTGAGTCCAATAATAATGGGGCTGACAAAGGGGATGAAATGGGACCATGGAAATGTTGAGTTTGTAGACTATGGGAGATTGTGCTTGTGTAAAGTTGTGTAAAGTTGTGTAAAGTTGGTCATGAGAATGAAAATGAAAGGGAAAAGGGGAAAGAAAAAGGCAGAAAGAGTCTTCATTCTTGTTTTGTTTGTCAGAGAGTATCTTTTTGGTTGGTAAGTGAAAATGAAGTGTCGGTGAATACGTGATTTGACAATTACCTCCATACTCTAGTGCTGAAACTTGTTTTTCAATCTAGGGAGAATGCCTCTGTACACTCCCCGACTTGGAGTGAAAATATGACTACCTACGAAGCATAGTCTTAACTGATAGAAGTCACCAACAGAAATACAGATTTGTTAAATCAGAGATGCAAATCTGTCGAGTAATAATAAAGAACCATAAATCTCATATGCAAATACACAATTCTATCATAACTTTGCTTGACATTATATCGATCTAAGAATTGATATGAATATCAAAATGAGACGAACAAGGCATAACACTCTATATGAGTTCTTTATTGGAAGTAAGACTCACTCTTAGCCATCTACTCACAAAGATCCAGGATCAAATTATCACACATGTTGCTCTTGTAGATACAAGAGAAACCTTAAGTTTGAAGTCACCATGAATCCCTTGTTTCATTAGAATAAAACTTCAATAAGAAATAATTCATTCATAATAATTCTATTCTAATCAAATTCCAAATTTGATCAATTAGTTTTTATAGTTTGATAATGGTCTTTTTAATTGTAAAAACTATTTAGGATGTTAAATATTGCAGTTTCTACCTTGTATTCACTTTCACCAATTTGCTTACTAAGTTTATCAAAATATATATATATATATATATATATATATATATATATATATACATACCTACGTACGTATATATATTTCATATCATTGAATAACTATGCCAAGACTTATAATTTTAACAAAAAATTAACTATGAAGCTATTTTTTTTTTTTAAATCTTATAAATTTCACACCATGCATATTTTTTACAATCATGACAAAACTTTTTAAACTAAATTTTCACATAACAAAATTTATCAAAGGGCAATAGTTACAAGCACTTATTCAAGTTTAACCTCAAGTTTAAGGTTAAGATTAAGACAACTATCCAAATTTAGGGTGTACCTTGGTTACAATTTCACAAATTTTGGGGATAAAAATCAATTGTTTTTTTTTTTTTCTTTTTTCTCCTTTTTCAACTAAGTGAAAAGTTGGGCCAACGAGTGCCTGTCAAATATGACCGATATTTGGGCAAAGCCCTAGGCTAGTAAATTGGATCTTACTTCTAATAAATAAGAACCCATTCCAATATATCATTTTTCCTCACTTTCATTTTTATTATTTGTAATGCTAATTTAAAAATGACATCCAAAGTACCAAAGGGAAGAGAGAAGGCAAAATGAAAGAGATTTTAAGATGACAAAAATACAAAATAGAAAGGTTAAAGTTGTTTTCATATGGTTCATAGAGACAACTCATACTTTTGAAACAATTCAAGTCACGTATAACGAGGAGTCCAAATTGTAGGCTGCTTGAGACATTACATTAATTCGTCTCACAACTTTTTTTTTTTTTTTTTTTTTTTATCTTTTACGTCTCAAGTATTATGACGATGGATCCCACATGTAATTAAAATTAATTTATTTTTATTCCCCTTTTGGAAATAACTCAACACCATTATTTTCCCCCTTTGCTCAAATATGGAATTGCGTTAGTATATTAGGTGGTGTCTGATTAATTTGGGCATGCTTGATAAAGCTGGTCTTTTGAGTTTTCTATGTTAAAAGGTATACTTGTTTCGAAAGGCGTAGTTTTTTGTTTTTGCTTTTGATCCAAATACGGCTGAGGTGCTTTTGACTCGAGTACTCCTCCTTAGAGACACTTTCTCAAGTCGTAGAACTAAATAAACCAACATTTGTTGCTAATCCATCACTAGCTACTTTTTTCCAAACACAGTGGAAGGCTGAAGGATGATTTCCTTAGACCATCCATGGAAAAGAGAGAAAGTGGATTGTGGTGTTTTGAAGTTATGAAATGACCCAAAATGATAAAGTATAACAAAAGCTGATGAATGGAAGGTCACAGCAGGGAGGGAGAGAGTAACTCCCATAGTAATTATATATATATAGAGAGTATTCGGGTCAAGTTGTGCATCTCACGACTATCCTTATAGGATAAGGATTTGACATGATTATAAAAAAAACTCGTAGGATACTAAATCTTAAGCAAGTAGCCAGCGTGACTTCATCTCATTTCCTCTAAATCTCTACTATTTAGATTGGTCTTTATTTTATTAGACCAACTTGGCGTCCTATCTCATTTGACCGAGGTTAAATTTTATTCACAACTGAATACACAATACCTATAAAGTCAGAATACTTATAAAAAGTTCTACTTTAACCAGAATGATAATGTTTCAGTCTGTGATGGTATTTCCAGGCCTCCACATGGGGCATGTTGAAAAGAAAAATGAAAGGAAGTTTATGACTATCCACAAAAGGTCAAATTGGGGGTAAGAGGAATGAGATGGGAACACCCCTAAATAGCCTTGACGGGTCCAAGAAGAATGATCTATTTTGGTAATATATTTGTAATCACTCAAACTTCTGCAGAAAGAAAGTGAGGATTGGCAAATTCAAAGATAGAAAATCAGGAACTTCCAACTTTGCTCATACTATTCCATGGTTGCCTGCTGATACCATTCCAGAATTACTTCAAGATTTTCACGTGGTCGGTGGGAAGGTTTTGATTAGGTGAGTATTGTGGTGGTGGGACAAGGAAACTTGAGGAGAAACAAGACATGTAGTCTAACAAAATTCAATCTCCTTCCCTATGTGTATGCTTTATTTTCTCATAATTTTATGTCGATGCCATGGAATAATATTTTGCATGACATTTAAGAATAGAATTAAGAAAGAAGCTGGTACCTTTGTGTGAATAGAGTCATTTGCGGCTTGTTCCTGGAAACTTCAGAAATTTGGAGTCAGAAAGGATTATACTAGCCAATCAACCAGCTCGTAAATGGAGCCCAAATTCGCTGTAGGCGGCGTCTTTCTGTAAGCTCTACAGCTTTCGAATCATCTACATAAAATGCAGGGAGCAGTTGGTGAATCTGTTTGAGAAATGCAACAATAAAAAATTCTAGCACAATTTCAATGTCATACGCTCATATTTGGCCTTGAGTGCAATCATTGCAGATTATGGAATCCAAGGACAATGAAGTGAAGCTTTGAAACTGCATGACAAAAAGACAGAGAAATCAGAAGTTATACCCAATGAATTAACATTTCTTTCATTGTTTTCTGCTTGTAGCCATGCCGGTTTGATTGAAGAAGGGATCATGATGTTGCCTGAATACAGAATAAGAACCCAACAGCGAGCATTATGGCATTATTATCGATCTTCTTGGTCAAATAGGAGAGGTTGCAGCAAAGAGTCTCTTCTAGTTAGATCCTACTGGGTACTAGATACTGCTATCTAACATTTATGCTGTGGAGAAGAATTGGAACAATGAAGCAAAACTAAGGAAAAGGGTTTGAAGAAGATGCTTAGGCAAAGTGCGATTAAAGCAGGAAGTGAGAGATGAATAGTTTTGTAGCTGATTATACACTTCATCCAGAATCTGACCAAAGTTATAGGTTGCTAGGGAATTCGAATATTGATATGAGAAACGAAGATTATAGCTCTAATTCAAGATCTTATTTACAAGGCATTGAGTAAATTCTATAGTTAACATTCGATTGTGAGTCTCATACAAGTCAAGTAAACTACTCAAATTGAGTGTTCAACACCTTTAGCCAGTGATTTGATTATGAACCATTTACCAAAAAATAATCCATCAGTTCACACAGGATTTCTGCTTTGCTTAGATAATGTAAAAACCACAACTAACAATCAGTGGTGGAGCAGAAAAAGAATTCAATTTATTTGCTATTTTTTGATAATTCATAATCTCCTCCTGGTAAAAGGAAAATATAACCAACATTTCTCTACGGTCACATCGTTTTTTTTACTCCCAAGTGTCGATATGCATGCCTACAGAATATCAGGGCACAGATTAGGCAGGCACATGGAAAAATAAACATAATCTAAGAATATATTTTAGCTCAATCGAGTAGAATTTGTAAGCCATAGCAACCTGTTGCCAGAGCTCATACAAGTACAGGAGAAATAAGAAATAAGAATACCACTCTGTTCCAAAGTTCTGATTCAGCAGGAGGGTGCGCCCTGCCCACTTGCTTGCGGCTTCTTTTCTAATTGTTGCCCTGGATGTCATTCTCCCAAGGTTTGTTCTTAGTTTCCTTGGAGACTTCAGCACTAGGAATTTTGTCTTCATCAACTTTTTTACCTTCCTCATCATTGATTCTCCCCATTCGACCCCTGAAATTTTCAATCTCAATCACATATTTCTCTATTCATAGGTTAATTAAAAAAGAGAGACTCTACTGCCATAAAACTAGATATTTTTACCTCTTTCATATTACTGGATTTTTAAGCCTCTATATCCACCCTTAAGCTTAACTACCAAGCGATCCCAAAAAATTTAGATCTCATAGAAGCTTCTTTTTTAGTCTAGTTATAAGTTGCGTTTATCATTCTATGCTTAAGACTGTCAATTCTTAGATCGTCAATTACATGATTAGAGACCCAATTTGAGAATTAAGCGATTAAAGTTCAGACTTGCTAATGAAGGATTAACCATACTAAATTCATAGTGTCAAAACATTTATGAATGTTTATGCAGTAGTTCTGAATTTTTCTTTCTGGACTACTTTTCCGTAGGCTCAGGCTGACACATGCATGTAGCGAACATTGCTGAGTAAAAAGGTTTTAGTACTGCACGAGAAAAATTTGCAAAAACGAATGCTTGTAAAACAGGAACTAAACAGAGGTAAATAAATAGAAAAGCTAGGTTAAATTGGACTCCTCGACCTTTCCATATAAGATTTAGTTGGTTGCTTTCTTTTAATCATTCCTCTTTTAAAAAAATTGATCAAAGATATCTAGGTTAAATAGATTTAGCACACAGTAGATACTTTACTGATTTGCACCTTACCCGTATCTTGCTAAGGATCAAATAATCATTACAATATGAAATCAAACCAAAAGAAAAAGGATATTGATGAAGATTATAAACTGCATGGTCCAACTGATAAGAAAAATAGGTGCAGAATACTAATAAGAAGATAAACTGCTAACAGCCGCTACTAATATACAATAGTTTCTTGAGGATTATTGGGAGTGAGTCCAACATTGGTTAATTTAGTGGAAGATTATGGGTTTATAAGTGAGGAATACTATCTCCATTGGCATGAGGCCTTTTGGGGAAACTCAAAGTAAAGCCATAAGAGCTTATGCTCAAAGTGGACAATATCATACCATTTTGGAGAGTCGTGATTCCTAACATGGTATCAGAGTCATGCCCTAAACTTAGCCATGTTGATAAAATCCTTAAATGTCGAACAAAGAATTGTGGGCCTCGAAGGTGTAGTCAAAAGTGACTAAAGTGTCGAACAAAGGGAGTACTTTGTTCGAGGGCTCCAGAGAAAGGAGTCGAGCCTCGATTAAGGAGGAGGCTTATAGTGTACTTTGTTCGAGGGAGGATTGTTGAGGATTATTGGGAGTGAGTCCCACATTGGTTAATTTAGTGGAAGATCATGGGTTTATAAGTGAGAAATACTATCTCCATTGGCATGAGGCCTTTTGGGGAAGCCCAAAACAAAGCCATGAGAGCTTATGCTCAAAGTGGACAATATCATAGCATTGTGGAGAGTCGTGATTCCTAATGGGGCTAAAAATGAGCTATCAGAAAAAACATGAAAGCCAGAAAAACGCAAACCTCCAAAGCCTTTCTATTAACTCGCCTTTTCCAATATGTTTATCCAGCAATTCAGGCACATCATCAGGAGTAACATAGCCATACCTAAATTTAAAATTAATGTATATAATTAACCAATGAAGCAACAGAAAATATCTCAAAAAGTTTGTGAAATAATTCTTCATTTGAAACTTGTCTTACCAATGGCCCATGATTCTCCCATCTAGATCTGGACTAAAAACAATCACGTTTCCAGCATACTTGTGTCCACCAATATGTGAACACGCATGTACACAAATCTGATCCTCTAGTCCTCTTAGTTCAATCTCCTCTGTAAGTTTTGTAATGAGAGCTGTTCCACAAACACCACATCTTTTATCTCGACTACGATGTGCACATACAAAAATATAAGAGCCAGCCAAAACATCATGTGCCCCATAAGCCTCCAGTTTACCATCCAAAAACACCTTCTCAACAAAGCTCTCCACGTCTTCGTCTTTCAGACCCCTGCATCATGAGTGAGTGTGAGGGGGAGATGGGACATTGTTCATCTTTTTGTTGTGCGCCGGAAGCGGAACAAAGGTACTTACAACACCAATGAACGAATTTACACAAAGAGGCACCAAGATATTTACGTGGTTCGGAGAGAAGAAGTTCCTCTACATCCACGAACCAATCACTAATAAACCAAAGTGTTTACAAGTGAATATCTCACTATCACACTACAAAGACTCTCACCAATATGTCACTCAACAAATACAATGTGACTCCCAAAGCTCTCCCAAATCTCGATACCAAATTCTGATATCAAATCCCGATATATAACTAAACCCTGGTGTGACTAAATCTAATTCAAATAACCAAATCAAATCTAATTCAAATAACCAAATCAAATATAATCCAAAGACCAAATCAAATCAAAACTTATGACAATTTACAACAATCTCCACCTTGTCATAAGATCTCCAAATCAAATCAAAACTTAATGACAATTTACAACAATCTCCACCTTGTCATAAGATCTCCAAGTTGATAACTGAGTTGGTTGCTACCACCTCAAGCCTCAATACGTAAGTTGGGAACTCCATCAATTATAGAGAAAGCATATGCTATCGTATCATCAAACCTTGCAGATTTTCGAATTACCCTTTGTGGTCTATTCTTGGCGATAGACTCAGGTTCCTCCACTCTTTCATTTACAAGGCTTTGCTCCTCCTGTTCTAAGACATCAGAGTTATTATCTACCTAATCAATAGGTTATTCAGTAGGAGCAACCATATCAGGAGAGAATACCACCTACTCCACCTGCTTCAATGCTTCGTCATTATTTTCAATTTTCTGCAAAAATATTCTAGACTCATCGAATGTCACATCTCGACTATTAACGATCTTACTTGTTTCTGGACACCATAACCTATAGCCCTTCACGCCTTTGCTAAAGCCCATAAACTTGGCTTTTATTGCTCTAGGATCCAGCTTTGAGTTTGTCACATGATAATAAGCAGGACACCCAAACACATGCAATTTATCATAATCACTAACAGGAGTACCTGACCATACCTCAAGCGGAATTTTCACACCATTTCCAGAAATAGGTAAACGATTCACCAAGTGAACTGCATAACTAAGAGCCTCAGCCCAAAAAACCTTACTCAATCCTGCTTGAGACAATATGCATCAAACCTTCTCTATTAATGTCTGGTTCATTCTCTCGGCAACTCCATTTTGTTGTGGCTTGCCAGGAACAGTGAAGTGTCGAACGATCCCTTCATCTCGGCATACTTTAAGTAATGGATCATAAGTATATTCTCTACCGTTGTCTAATCTCAGCTTTTTTATTTTCTTGTCCGTCTGATTCTCTACCATTTTCTTCCACTCTAGGAAGATTTGGAGAACCTCATTTTTGTGCCTCATGGGAAACATCCAAACTCTCCTCGAGTAGTCATCAATAAAGGTGACAAATCACCTCTTTCCTCCCAATGAGACATTCTTCGTGGGGCCCCATACATCAGTGTGAACATAATCTAAAATGCCCTTTGTTTGGTGTAAAGTTGTACCAAACTTCACATTTTTTAGTTTACCAAATATACAATGTTCACATAAATCAATTTCACCAGTTGTGGCACCCTTAAGGACTCCTTGGTTCACCAATGTCTTAAGCGCCTTCTCACCATCATGCCCAAGTCTCATGTGCCATAATTTCGATATGTCTTGTTCTTTCGAACTTGCCACAGCAGCATGCTCAATTATTGTGGTTCCGTTGAGGTAGTATATGTTACCTCTTCTAGTTCCTTTAATTGTCACCAAAGCTCCACGAGCTACTTTCAAATTCCCTCCCAAAATGATGCGATAACCACTCGCATCCAAAACGCCAAGGGAAATCAAATTTTTCTTCAAGTCAGGACATACCTCACATCATTGAGTTTTCGTATAACTCCATCAAACATCTTGATTTGTACTGAGCCGATTCCCGTCATCTTGCAAGTACTATCATTGCTCATATAGACAACTCCACCATTGAACTCCTCTCTGTTGGAACACATATTATAGGAGCACCCAGAATCAAGAATCCATTCACTGGTTTGGCTGACTGATAGGGAGATTGTCAAGGCATCATTTGTATCAGTATCGTCATCTCTAACCACATTGGACTTCGACTCCTTCTCTTTTAAGATCAGACAATCTTTCTTCCAATGGCCTTTCTGTCGACAATATGCACACTCATTTTTATCAAGTTTTCTCTAATTATCAGATCTACCTCTCGACTTTGATCGGGACTCTCCACATTCGCTCCTTTTCCAAGTAGAAGTCCTTCCACGAGCATTTGAGCGAGAATCTTTATATGCCTCCTTTTCCTTCTTTCGCACCTCATTATTCATCCAGACATTTGAAACATCTTCAAAATCAATATCAGTGACTCCATGTAGTAGGGTGGTTACTAAAAACTCGTAGGACTCCGGCAAAGAATTTAATAACAACAACGCCTTGTCTTCGTCATCAATCTTAACATCAAGATTGAGCAAATCAGTGATGATTTTGTTAAAATCATCCAAATGCTCAACCATTGAGATACCTTTCTTGTAGTCAAAACGGAAGAGTTTCTTCTTCAAATAGAGTTTATTTTTCACGCTCTTTTGCATATATTTCGCCTCAAGCTTGTCCCATAGCTCTTTCGCCATGGTCACCTTCATAAATGGATATTTCTGATCCTTGCCAAGACAGGATCGAATAATTCCGCAAGCTTGCCGATTTAATTTCGTCCATTCTGCTTCTGTCATGTCTTCGGGCATCACCTCTTGGAGAAAGCATCAAGATCTTGCATGACCAGCAAATCACTAACTTCGCCTCGCCAAACACCAAAATTATTGGTTCCATCAAATTTCTCTACTTCGAGATGAGAACTTAAAAATCTTGATCCACGCCGTGATTTAATTCCAGATGATTCTTCGCTAACTTCGCCTCGCCAAACACCAAAATTATTGGTTCCATCAAATTTCTCTACTTCGAGATGAGAACTCAAAAATCTTGATCCACGTCGTGATTTAATTCCCGATGATTCTGCCATTTTCAAGAAAATAAGCACGATTGTGAGCATGTCTAGTGGTCGATGAGGCCAAAACTTTCACAATTCCCCAAATACCACAATCAGGCTCTGATACCAATTGTTGTGCGCTGGAAGCGGAACAAAGGTACTCACAACACCAATGAACGAATTTACACAAAGAGGCACTAAGATATTTACGTGGTTCGGAGAGAAGTTCCCCTACATCCACGAACCAATCACTAATAAACCAAAGCGTTACAAGTGAATATCTCACTATCACACTACAAAGACACACCAATATGTCACTCAACAAATACAATGTGACTCCGAAAGCTCTCCCAAATTCCGATACCAAATTTTGATATCAAATCCCGATATATAACTAAACCCTAGTATGACTAAATCTAATTCAAATAACCAAATCTAATCTAATTCAAATAACCAAATCAAATCTAATTCAAACAACCAAACCAAATCAAATCTAATCCAAAAACCAAATCAAATCAAAATTTAAATAAAAGTGATAATATGTAGGACAGAACAAAAGAATCCATGATCATAAGTTAACGATAATAGCTCAAGAAGTACACATGAGGAAAAAGTAATATAAGAACAACATTAATAACCTTCAGAGGCCCTAAAGATTAGCCAGATAATTGGAATTGTATTATAATCTACCGTGATTACAGCTCAATTACCTTTTGGAATACAGATTTTAGTTTACATGTAACAGCAACAAGTTTAATGCAAATTTCTTTTAGTTTATGAGAAAATTAGCCCGTCTACAATGAAAACTAAACCAAATCTCCAACCTGTATTTGAGCATATCCGGAAAAACCAATACATCTCCATCTGAATGCTCAGCTCCCTCCCCTGCCTCGCATATCGTCAGCTTTGTCTAGCAAGCCAAAACAAGAAAGAGAAATATAAAGTATGATGGCAGAGTCCTCAAATTCCATGAACTATAAACAGAATTTTAAATGACAATAATAACAAAACCATCTCATGAACAAAATACACCGTCGTTCTAATTCAATCATTAAAAAAAAAAAAAAAATGTGTTGCTGACCTTAACAGAAATTTCGTTTTCACGAGTTTTTATGGCTGAGGAAAGGAGTTTAGGTAGCAGATCAGCGTCCGAGCCTTCAACACGGGACGGCCAGACCTCATGGCTTCGATAGCAGAGGAACACGTGGCGCTCGTAAGCACCAACGGTTCCGGAAAGGCTTCTCCCATACATCTCCGGCCGACGGAAGCCATACTTCTCGTCTTCGGCAGTTGAAAATGTGGAGACACGGTGAGATTCCGAGGAGTGGAGTAAGATCGGCGACGAGATTAGGTACGAAGAGGATAGCTTCGGAGAACGGAAGAAAAAGAGAGATTCACGCAGATTTTCGCCAACGGATGAAAGGGAACGATTGGGACGCCATAATCGCATATCTTCACTTCTTAGGTGGCGCCGCCGTGTCACCGCCGTGTCGCCGGGGAGAAAATGGAAAATAAATGCGCGCCTTCGCGGGAGGGAAAATGAAACAAAGAAAATAATATGCGCGGTTGTTTTATCATGCGATTCCACGTTACCAAGTGGACTTTGCCACAGGAGACCATCTAATTATGATGTCAAAATTTTAAATTTTTTAATTTAAATAATATATATATATATATAAAGTATTTGTGTGTATTATTTATTTATTTAAATTAATAAATAGGCATTTCATCTATTTGAATTAATTAAAAATGTTTTTATTAATATTAATTTTAAAAAAAAAAAAAAAAAAAAAAAAAACTTTGAATTTTACCCTATCCATTTCAAAAATTGTATAGTAACTTTATCGTCCATATACATTTCAAAGCTATTTTTTTCTTTTACAAATTCATTTATGTAAAAATTCATCAAACAACATTTAATCAATTTTTTATTTCAATTGTAATTTTGAAACATTTATGAAAGGTTAAAAGTAATTTTATAATTTCTTAAATAATAAAAGTATTTTTTAAAAACAAGGTATCGTTCCTTCTAGAACAACGTCGTAATAGCATCTTAAATAATAAAAGTATTTTTGTAAACACTTCTAGTTCAAGAATTAATGAGAATTAAGAGGCTAAGCTTATAATTTAGCATCCGAAAAATTAAATCAAAGTAACAGCCTAAACCCACTGTTAACAAATATTGTCCACTTTGGCCCATAACGAATCACCGTCAATCTCATAATTTTAAAACATGTCTATTAGGTAGAGATTTCCACATGCTTATAAGAAATGATTAGTTCCTCTCAATCGATATGGGATCTCACAGTCCACTTCCCTTAAAGGCTCAACGTCTTTGTTGACACACCGCTCAATGTCTGGCTCTATACCATTTGTAACAGCCCAAGTCCATCACTAGCAAATATTGTCTACTTTGGCCTGTTACCCGTTACGTATTACTATCAACCTCACAATTTTAAAACACATCTATTAAAGAGAGAGGTTCTCACATCCTTATAAATAATGTTTCGTTCCACTCTACAACCCACATGGGATCTCACAACGTCCGGAAATTAAACTTTTTCTACCAACGGACTGTCTCTCCATACTGTCAACAGAAAAGCATCAGAATATTTTCCTATGCAGACTGTCTGAAAGAATTATGTCAGTTTAGGAAATCCAACAATTCCATTCCCCAATTTTGATGAATCTTCTGCACATTTTCTCAGACAGGTTTATTATGCAGCAGGAGACACACCACAGTACACAGTTACTAAGCGAGTTAAAAATAATGAAACCATAGCAGGACACTTCTGTAATCCCCATTGTAATGGGAAAACGAAGCATTGAATTGAAGCACAAAGGGAGAAGGGAGAAGGGAGATTGGTTGAAAGACCCGAAAAAGAAAAAACGACAATAAGATTCAAAAGAAGTCGATCTCTAAATAATTACCTGAAGGTTTCACATCGACTCCCGGCGTTTTTTCGCCTGCCGGTGCGTGTGGTGTCTCCATTCTTGAAGAGAAATCAATGGCATCTACTCTTGGCACTTCTGGAGGATTGGCACAGCGGATGAGTGCCCAATTCACGCTCTGGAAGAACGGATGTTGTTTGATCTCGGTAGCACCACGCCTATAAGCGAGACGGTGCTGTGGTTCTTTTACGAGCAAGCCTCTGATCAAGTCCCTTGCTGCAAAGCTCACAGAAGGAGACTCTGGAAATCTCAATGGCTGACCAACTACATTAAACAAAGTAGCTCGGTTCCCAGCTCCCTTGAATGGCGTTCTACCGAACAAAAGCTCGTAGAGAAAGATCCCGAAAGTCCACCAATCCACAGCACTGCCATGACCCTCACCTTTTATGATTTCAGGTGCGAGGTACTCATGTGTACCGACAAAGGACATCGATCTCGCACTTGTGGGCTCAGCAATGAGCTCAGGTAGAGGGCTCACTTGATGATATACTTCACTCTTTGGTTTCGACTTTTTTTCTTTCCTGTGCCTGCTTAGGAAGCGAGGCGTAAAACACGCTGGCTGGATACAATCTGGCTGCATTATGCAAGTTGGCTCAATGCAAGCAGGCTGAGCGCAGTAGCCCGAGCTTTTAGATTCTAAACCCGTGTTTGATGACTTAACAAGGGTAGGGGAAACCGCGCATCTAAGAGACAGGTCAAAATCAGATAGCATTATGTGCCCATCATCTCTAACCAACACATTTTCAGGTTTTAGGTCCCTATAGATTATCCCAAGCATGTGCAGATACTCCAATGCAAGAAGAACTTCAGCCACATAGAATCTGAAAAAGTACAGAAAATATAAAGTGAAAATGAAGGTGAAAAGTCCAAGAATATTGTAGCTTGAATGAGAGATGCTTGACTCAAAAGCATATAGATAAACAACCATAAACGTTAACATCTAAATATTCTACCGTGGTAGCCGAGTTAGGAGGACGATGAGAGCAGAAGGAAATACATCGATGTGATTTTACGTTAATGGAGTTCAAATCTATATCAGAAAGAAGCTAGAAGCCCTATTCGTACGTAAAAGTCGAGCATATATGTCCGTTGGTCCTATCAAGATATTCATGTTTTAGTCGAGCATATAAAACGGCAATTCATACTTGATTCATTAAAGGAGCAGTATGCTCTCGGAAAAGCAATATAGAGCTAAAGAAAAGGACAGCAATTTCAGACCTTGCAGCATGCTCCGGGAAAAAATTTCCGGGTTGCCTCTGCCTAAGCGCGTGCAAGTCGCCTCCTGGGCAAAACTCCATTACCAAGCAAGAGAACTTCTCTGTCTCGAAGTGTGTATACAAAGTAGGAAGGAAAGGATGATCCAGAGATTGCAATATCTCGCGCTCGGTCTGAGCCCTCAGAAGCTTCTTCCTACTTGCCAAAGCAGCTTTATCCATAACCTTCATTGCAAAATAAGTTTTGGTACCAGTTAACTCCGAAAGATAGACACTACCGATATCGCCACATCCCAGTCTCCGCAGCAACCTGAAATGATTCAGTCCTAACATCCCATCATGAGACCTCACAACTTGCATTGCTTCCCATCTTGTATCATTTGCCTTATGGGGCTTATACATGGCATTGCTTAAACTACTCGAGTTGCTCTCATCACTGATATCACTGCCGGTACTGCCTCGGTAAACACTTGTTTTCCTGCTTTTGTCGAGATCGTAGGAACTTGTGATGTCGATGCTTTCACAAGACTTTTTAATACTGCTTGCACATTCACTGACTTCCGTGTTTGAGAAACTTTGTTTGGCCTCGGCATATAACGTCGTGGAATATAAGCTGTTCTGAGGACTTGGACAAGAAATTTCATCTGGCTGAGACTTTTGTTGATCATTTGTTTTTGTGGAATCTCCTTTCGATGCGTTTAATACTCGATTTCCAGATTCTTCCAAACCACTTGAACAACAATCCTTAGAATCTTCAATAATATGCTTCACAAGAGGTTTTGCTCCACCTCCCTCCAAAGGAACCTTCTTCTGAAAAGAAGTTTCAGTCGACTTATACGAAACATCCATCGGGTTTACAAGCTCAGATTTCCCCTTATTGGAAACATGTGTATGATTTTTCACATCAGTTGAACCTTCAAGCTGCGAATCGGGTTGTTTTTTAATACTTACAGAAGAACCATTTGGATGACGAACAGGTTTCTTGGCACAATTCTGAGATGTAACGTAGGATGTCGAAGAACTGGCTTCATCCCTTGATTGTTTAGCAGAAAGGTGGCGTGACGAATCGAGAATCCTCACTGTAGATGTCGGGTTCTGAGTTTTAAGTAAAGAACTCATACCATCAACGAGTGACTCCATCAGCAGCTCGGCTCAAGCACTCCCAGGCTAGATCTTAGGGTGTGGTGAATGGGATGCAGCAATTGATCGCAACCATTGTGGTAATTTCTAAAGCCATTGATTACAAAATCTTCAACTTATTAATGTCTTTCTTGCAAACGCCAAATGAATATCTATCTGTCCTGGAAGTTGCAAAGGTCAAATTGATTCAGATACACTTTGAGAAAGATTGAAGATACCATAACCAGCAATCCAAGCAATAAAAGAAAATCCCCAAGATTATGAACAGATTCACAATCAAAGCAATATCAAAACCTACAAAGTCCGAAGAAAAAGAAAATCAAGTGAAGTAAATTCTAAATATCTTTGTAATCACACAACAATAACAGATTATTCAATCCGCCGTCCAACAATTTCTACGTTTTCTTCTTCAGAAACTCAAACACCTCATCTAATTTGCTCCAAAAATCAAAACAAACTCAACTCCAACACTGAACTCGTTTCAAAAGATTTACAAGATGAAAACCAAAATTTCCACTGGCTTCGGCAACTGATTTTGATTCTACGGAAGTGAAAACCAAAATCAACCACAAAACTCAACAATACAACCCCCAAATCTTTAACAATAGTAATCAAAAACAAAAAACACACAACCAGAGATCCCTGAACATCAACTACACAATGCAGCGGGAAGCAAATCTTTCAAAGCAGGGAGTAAAAAGAACGCGAGAGAGACTCACCTAAAAACGCAACCAAATAGAGGAAAAGCGAAGCAACTTTGCGAGTTCCTTGCTCTTTTTTCCGATTTTCTGAAGCACTTTCAGATCCGATCCAACACAAGAAAGAAAGAGTTCGGATTAGAGGAAGAATATAATAATTGCAAACAGAATAATCTGCAACTTTTGGGTGTGTTCTTGCTGCTGCTTTGAATCTTCCCGTCGATTGAAGAACAAGAAGAAGAGGAGAGGAAAGATTCAGAGATGAAAAAAGGAACAGAAAAAAAAAAAAAAATGAAGCAAAGTTGAGAAGCAAAAGTTACAAATGGCAGTCTTTATCTCTGTGATGTTCCCTCCATGAAAATCTCTTCCTCTTGTTCTTAAGCTCTTGTTTTTGTTTAATAATTTTTTTTTCATCTGATTAAAATTGTTACGGGCACTCCTTAATTTTTTGTTATGGCCACCTCCTCCCACTTTTTAATTAATAAAATATTGAATTAATTTAAAAAAACATTTATCTCACCACTAAAGTGTTAAATGTTTGA